TCCTCTCCTGCTGATGTTCAGGTGTATATCAGTATGTAGTGTCTCTACTTTAAAGAGTCCTCTCCTGCTGATGTTCAGGTGTATATCAGTATGTAGTGTCTCTACTTTAAAGAGTCCTCTCCTGCTGATGTTCATGTGTATATCAGTATGTAGTGTCTCTACTTTAAATCTCTTCTCTTCATTTTTTTGGTAATTGTTAAGACTTTTAAAAGACTGATTTTATCCTCGATTTCAATTTATATTCATTAATTTAATGCCTATATTTTGCATTGGGTATTGAGAGTACAGTAAGTATTGAAAGAAGGATTAATATAGTGTTGGCATATTCAAGGGAATGGTTGGAATCAAGAAAGCCACAGAACATCACCAGCAGCATCCTGAAGACCTTAAAATGTACAATTTGTAGAAAAAAAACACGAGGTGAGAGACTGGGAGGGGGCGGGGGTCACATCTGGAGGACGTGTGCAGCAGATAATGAGCTGCAGGGTGTGAGTCCACAGGAAGAACAACTGGTCTCCCCCCGCTGACTAGGATCGATCCAGACTCACAGTGAGACATCGTTACCTGCCGTCAATACATGAGGCTCCACAAGCAGAGATAAAAAGGATGCAACGTGGAGAAAAGAGGAGGGGGGTGATTTAGTGGATATCAAATCCAGTTTGTTAGGATATATGCCGGGGTTGGAATAGAGATTTCTATTTGTGCCGCATGGATGAAATAACAGAAAATGAGTCTGCTTGTTAGCTCTTCCTGTTCCTGATTCCTCTTCTCGAAGTCAACAACTTTTTTAATGTGTTTGTGGTTAGAAGTCTAAAATATGGTCTGTGGCTAACACAAGCTGAAGATATTTAAACGTCAGTAAATACCCCACAGGTGAATTTAAAAACGGCGGTTGCTAACAAGTGTCTAAAAGAGACGTCATCACGGTCAACATTAGCCACCTTTAGCTTAGCGGTGGTGACGTGAAGTCATGTGACCGTGCTGTAGTTCCTTTATAGCCCAATATTAGCCGCCTTTAGCTTAGCGGTGGTGACGTGAAGTCATGTGACCGTGCTGTAGTTCCTTATAGCCCAACATTAGCCGCCTTTAGCTTAGCGGTGGTGATTTGAAGTCATGTGACCGCGCTGTAGTTCCTTTATAGCCCAATATTAGCCGCCTTTAGCTTAGCGGTGGTGACGTGAAGTCATGTGACCGTGCTGTAGTTCCTTTATAGCCCAATATTAGCCGCCTTTAGCTTAGCGGTGGTGACGTGAAGTCATGTGACCGTGCTGTAGTTCCTTTATAGCCCAATATTAGCCGCCTTTAGCTTAGCGGTGGTGACGTGAAGTCATGTGACCGTGCTGTAGTTCCTTTATAGCCCAACGTTAGATTTTAACTTCAGAAATCATTAAGTGGTGTTAATATGGGAAGATTATCCTGCTGAACAAAACGTGTAAATATCATAAACTTGTGTTTTCCACAGAGATTATTTTCTACAATAATCCAATGGAAAAACCCCTTTGCTTTTTGTGGAGGGAAACAGGGAGATGCTGCCTTCAGGGCCCTCTCTTTAGGGACAGCTTCTAATGGTCAGGTTGAGGATTTCAGGGTATAGCGTGGAGCGCAGGGAGTCAAAGAACACTAATATAGATCCAGTCCCCAGCAGGTTAGAACAACATACTACCCAGCATGCAACCTGAACACTGCATGCTGGTTCTCTGTTCTCTTCTGTCTGCTGCAGAACAAAGTCACAGTGCAGACGTGGAGCCTTTCGTCTCTCCTTATTGCTTCACTCACTCCGTGTGCCTTCATCAGAGGATGAGTCGGTATAATATCCAGGATCCGAATGTGGCCCAGTGGCTCATCCAGCTCAGCTCCGACCACTTCTGGATGGTATGATGGGTGATATCGTCCTGTGGGGGGAAGCACATGCTATGTGAGCTCAATGGGGCATGGGTGTAAAAAAACTTTTAACATTTTTGGAGAAAAAAAAGATTTGGTATTTTCTGTTCCTATACACAAAATGAATTATACGACATGTTATATTAACATCTTTGCATGTCTATGTGTTACCTTCTCGCCCATATGTGGGAATATATCTCTATACAATACATCTTTTTGTATTCCTTATCAATAATGAATACAAAAATCAATCAAAATGAAAGAGAATATATTTTGTTTTAGTTAAGATTTTTTTTGTGTCGCCAATTTTACAAAGAAAAATTCAAATGACTCATCGTTACTCGTGGTTCTGTTTACTTTAACATAATGTCTTAGCAATTTTAGGACTTTTGAAAGATTGATTCAGGCGTTTCTTAAGAATTAAACACATCTTAAGATCCCCAAACTCTGGTTATTAACTTAAAAGTATCCAACTGTATGTCAGTACACTATAAACTATAAATACAGCAGCTGTGCTCAATTCCCCATATAGCGCCTCACATATCCATATGTCACATGGTGTGCTGTACAGTGAGTACAGTGTGTATAAATACACACACACACACACACACACACACACACACACACACACACACACACACACACACACACACACACACACACACACACACACACACACACACACACACACACACACACACACACACACACACACACACACACACACACACACACACACACACACACCACACACACACACACACACACACACACACACACACACACACACACACACACACACACACACACACACACACACACACACACACACCCACACACCTCCTCCTCATCCATGTAGTCGACGCTGGAGTTGAACACGGAGCCCAGGTACGTCAGGTGGAGGATCGCCAAAGCACTGAAGGCGATGTTGATCAAAAACACCCAGAGACCCTGCAGAGAGACATCAGGTTAGAAAAAAGGACTCAAAATAATATTTCACTTCATCCATATCTATTACAAAGCAATGTCGACCTTCTATTTGTGTATATTTTATTGTTCTTACTTTTACTGAGTGGTTTCTTTGTTATATATTGTAGTATGATACTTTAACTTTATCTTTGATCAATTTCTGAAGGTGGAGCAACTGCTCCGAAACCCAATTTCCACCATGGCAAATAAATTACTTTGATTGATTTTGGAATTTGAAACCACCATCATTTCCAGGATGTTTAAAGTATCATCTGTAATATGCTGCCACCACTGCAGGCGACCTGTTCCCGGCATAAATCATAATTACCCCCCCCCCCCCCCCGCTGCTCTTGATGTGTGAAACCAATATAACAGGAGGGATTTTTGCTGGGCGCTCTGCCAGTAAACTCCTAAAATATATCAACTGAGAGTGAAGCAGACCACAGGAACTGCTGCAGTGTTTCTTCTGGCATGAAAACTTAAAGTGCACCGATCTTGCTATTTGTAGGCAATAGCACAGGTCTCAGATATATACAAATATATACAAAACATGTCTATGAAGTGTTTTGCTCAAAATACCAAACAGATCACCCATTCTAGCCACGCCTCATATCCCTCTATTTCACTTCCTGTTTCTAAAGTGCTGATTTTGGGGATAAAGCTTTAAAAAAAAAAAGATTGATAAATTAAAAAAAAGGGGGCTGAGCTCATGCGGGACCCGGCAGCTACTGTCTAAACTAAATGCTGCCGTGATGAAACGCCATATCATGGATTATCAAGGATTCTCTCTGAAACAGTTTGGAGCTCAAAGGCTTTCTCTCTTGCCGGTTATACCACAAGGTGAGTTCCTTTTTACTTCCTGCTTCTTCACACACATGCTCTCCAGTACAGGTTAGCTCTGAGTGTTAGCGATGCTAATGTAAACACCGACCATATTACGTCCAAAACAGTCGGGCATTGTTTCTGATAGCAACGTTTCTGATTGGCCCGTGGGTCCACATTTCAGATATTACGTCATATCGGACGCAAATCTGGATCAGCTCCGTTGTTCCCCATTTTTAGAGATTTGGGTACGGAGGAAAAGAGAGAGGGTTTTATCTTCTGACGCTGCGTGAGTTCCCTGACACACCGGGGACACATGTTGTATGAAAGACATCAAAAAGTGCATTTTCCACGATAGGTCCCCTTTAATTTGCACAATAGTTTCGTATTATTTTAGATAGAAGTCTTACAAAAATAGACACTTTCTCATGTGTACTGAAATAAATTGCCCCCTGAAGGTGTTAAATTGTACGTCTTGTTATAGGGTAAGTCAAAGGGAAAGTTATAGGGGTCATATTTTTGAATATAAGCAGAGTAACAATATACTTTTCTAATGGAAACTGGGCCAGCAGATTTACTTTGTAGCTGCCAGCAATGCCAGAGGAAAGGCCATTTGAACAGATCAAATAATTAAATGAAAAACAGGAATTTAACATATGTTTATTGTATTTTCAAATATTTTAATTATTATATATAACGGACATTGTTTTTGTAATTAAAAGAATACATATTGTGATTATTTTATATTTAGGTTTTGTAATTCTTATACTTGATTTAATTTATTTTTTATTTCCACTTTTCTATGGGAAAATAGATAGAGGAAAATCAGGAGATTAACATATTGTTATTAAATCTAAAATGAAGGTAATGATAAATACAGATAAATAAATAAATGATATACATCTAATAAATAATTAAAAAATAATAAAAACAATTATAATAATAATTTAAAGAAAACATATTTTTGTATTTGTATGATAACTATTGAAAAGAAAATCTTTAAAAACTATTACTTAAATAAATGATTGCTATTACTTTAATATAACCGTCTGAATAGCTCCTCTGCTAATCCTAAAGCCCTGAAAATGAAACTCGCGCTCTGAAAGGACAAAGAGAGGAAGATGCACCTTTTTGTTCCGGTGAGTGCAGTTTGGCAGACATTTCTTTGACAGAATACAAGCATTAAAGATGGCTGCGAGCCTTTTCCGCAACACTGAAACACAAAACAAGAGCAGAGCATTAAGGAGGAGGCAGAGGAAGAGCAGCTCCTCATCCAGGAGAGGGAAATCAAAGAGCTGAACAGAAACAGAAACAGTGTTAATTAACCATTACTGCAGAGCCAAGCACCGTCTTTCAAACAGAAATGGTTGTAAAGTGGAAAAGACAGAAGCATTACCGTGCTCGATGTACGTGATGAAGCCGAGAGAGAGGAGCACCGCGCCCAGATGGAAACTCAAACCCTGCAAGATACGAGAGTTCAAATGCACTTCAGACACACAGCACAGGTATAAGGTATAGTTGATTGATATGGTTTAAAATGGCCCTGTTATGCCTTTTGGGGGGTTTCCCTTTCCTGTAGTGTGTTTGTGTGCATGTAAATGGTCTGCAAAGGCTAAAATCCACATTTTGTTAACTGCCTGAACGTCGTGACATCACAATATAACACTCGCGCTCCAACACATTGTACATGATAGGCTAAGGGGCGGGACATCTCTAGGCGGTTGACCAATCACAACAGAGCCAGAGCAGACTGGGCTCTGGTTTCAGACAGAGGGTGAAAAGAGGTGCTGCAGCACAGGCAGTATGAGAGAAATAAAGAGCTTTGTGAACATTAAAGCATGGAGACATGTAGAGACACTACATACTGATATACACCTGAACATCAGCAGGAGAGGACTCTTTAAAGTAGAGACACTACATACTGATATACACCTGAACATCAGCAGGAGAGTACTCTTTAAAGTAGAGACACTACATACTGATATACACCTGAACATCAGCAGGAGAGTACTCTTTAAAGTAGAGACACTACATACTGATATACACCTGAACATCAGCAGGAGAGGACTCTTTAAAGTAGAGACACTACATACTGATATACACCTGAACATCAGCAGGAGAGGACTCTTTAAAGTAGAGACACTACATACTGATATACACCTGAACATCAGCAGGAGAGGACTCTTTAAAGTAGAGATACTATATACTGATATACACCTGAACATCAGCAGGAGAGGACTCTTTAAAGTAGAGACACTACATACTGATATACACCTGAACATCAGCAGGAGAGGACTCTTTAAAGTAGAGACACTACATACTGATATACACCTGAACATCAGCAGGAGAGGACTCTTTAAAGTAGAGACACTATACTGATATTCACCTGAACATCAGCAGGAGAGGACTCTTTAAAGTAGAGACACTACATACTGATATACACCTGAACATCAGCAGGAGAGGACTCTTTAAAGTAGAGACACTACATACTGATATACACCTGAACATCAGCAAGAGAGGACTCTTTAAAGTAGAGACACTACATACTGATATACACCTGAACATCAGCAGGAGAGGACTCTTTAAAGTAGAGACACTACATACTGATATACACCTGAACATCAGCAGGAGAGGACTCTTTAAAGTAGAGACACTACATACTGATATACACCTGAACATCAGCAGGAGAGGACTCTTTAAAGTAGAGACACTACATACTGATATACACCTGAACATCAGCAGGAGAGGACTCTTTAAAGTAGAGATACTACATACTGATATACACCTGAACATCAGCAGGAGAGGACTCTTTAAAGTAGAGACACTACATACTGATATACACCTGAACATCAGCAGGAGAGGACTCTTTAAAGTAGAGACACTACATACTGATATACACCTGAACATCAGCAGGAGAGGACTCTTTAAAGTAGAGACACTACATACTGATATACACCTGAACATCAGCATTATAGGGCCACTTTAATGTAAGAAGGCCAGGTTGAAAAAGTTAAACGTTTTTTTGTTACTTATTCTGTATTGTGTATATTGTGCACTTCACTGAAATATATTTTTCTATTGGTAATTTGTGTATATTTAGTTTACATGTTTAGTTGTAAATATGTTACTGTAACAAAACAATTTCCCAATCTGGGAACAATAAAGTGCATCTAATCTAATTTAATCTAATCAAACAATGTAAAACATGGACACTCTGAGTACTCACGTGCAGCAGGGCGCTGGCTGTGTACGTCACCATGATGGCGGAGAACGTCCCGAATTTTAGAGCACTCTTAAAAACATCTGTGAGACGAGAGCATCGGCAGAGAGTCGGTTTAAAAGAGCCGTTAGCATGTTCATGATGAGACAAGCACTAAACAGCTGCTGCCATAATCAGAGATGGCAAAAGTACACACATCCTTTACTCAAGTAGAAGTACAGATACTCGTGTTTAAAAATACTCTGGTAAAAGTAGAAGTACTGACTAAACTTCTTTACTCAAGTCAAAGTAAAGAGGCTTTGAAATGTACTTCAGTAAAAAGTACCCATAACTAGCAGCTGCTTTAAAGAGTACCTGACCTCCCTTTATGTTAATAGAACAATAATGTAATTGTTAGCTAATGAATGTTTCCATGCTGAACAACGGCAACATGACAACGTTTCCATTGGTCCCTCTTCTTTAGAGAAGACCAGGAAATGATGGATACACGGATCGTGTTCAAATCAATAGGCACGCAATGACTCTAAAGAATAATGATCACGCATCAAACACACATTCAGACTAAAGGAACCAGCTGTTTGGAAAATGAGAGAAGTAGAAAGTACAGGTATTTGAGTTCAACATGTAAGAAGTAGAAAGTTCAGGTATTTGTGTTCAACATGTAAGAAGTAGAAAGTTCAGGTATTTGTGTTCAACATGTAAGAAGTAGAAAGTACAGGTATTTGTGTTCACATGTGAGAAGTAGAAAGTTCAGGTATTTGTGTTTAACATGTAAGAAGATAGTTCAACATGTAAGAAGTAGAAAGTACAGGTATTTGAGTTCAACATGTAAGAAGTAGAAAGTACAGGTATTTGTGTTCAACATGTAAGAAGTAGAAAGTACAGGTATTAGTGTTCAACATGTAAGAAGTAGAAAGTACAGGTATTTGGGTTCAACATGTAAGAAGTAGAAAGTCCAGGTATTTGGGTTCAACATGTGAGAAGTAGAAAGTACAGATAGTTGGGTTCAACACGTAAGAAGTCAAAGTAAAAAGTCGTCAGAAAAACAAGTAGTGGAGTAAAGTACTGATACCAGAAAAATGTACTTAAGTACAGTAACGAAGTACCATCGGGAATGCTTGGAATCTCGCTGTACTCTGTGTAGTGACAATAAAGGAATCTAATCTAACTTTGATGTCCTTTTTTTGCAGCTCAACCATAAAGCAGTCGGAGCTGAAGACTCACAGGTGTGCAGGAAGCGAGACATGGGCAGGTTCCAGGAAGTCACCACCTCCACCGTGGAGCGAGGGAACTCGATGCTCAGAGGCTTGGAGACACTCAGATCCCTGACACACACAGAGGGGAAGAGGGGTTATTATTACGTGAATGAAGGGGAACACACTTGAAAACATGCTGCTCCAAAAACAAGCTGTTTTCACTTGAAATAAGTACAAAAATCTGAAGTGAAAATGTGCTTGGTAAGATCTCTTGAAATAAGATGGGATATTTAGATAAATCAGATTTTGTAATTAGCTGACAGAACTAGCATTGAACTATATTGGACCAGAATCAGGACATTTTGTGTTTCAATAGAGCCGCACATGCTCAAAGGTATTCTGTTTTCAGATGTTATTTGGTGATTCTTTAATAAATATGTAAATAAATATGTGTTTCATCTGAGATACAATTCAAAATAAGAGTTTTTGACTTAACAGGATGAGGCATCGTCTAAAAACAAGACCCAATATCTCACTGCAGTGTCACTTCTGGAGTTATTGTGTCTGATATCCGGTGTAGAGACATATTCTGACTAGATATTAGACACATATACTTGGCAAGATTTTGAGTTTTGGTAGTGTAACTGCAGCTCTGACCATTTGAGGTTCTCCTTCTCCTCGGTGAAGCCCGCTCCGGCCAGAGTCGCAGTCGTCTCGCTCAGATAACTCACAAAGTAATTACTGAAGTGGAAAGACATGGTGTTCTCGTACGCCAGCAGCCACCTGAGGAACAGACATTGCTGAGTTCAGGTTCAATTTAACTTAAAATGTATTTATAATTCAACATTGAAACACATACTTTGCTGGTGTTCCCCTGAGAAGCAACAGAATAAAGAGAGAAAGAGTAGAAGTTAGTGATATGTTACATTAATTTGATGTTTTACTCAAATATGACAAATTCTCTTTTCATTGCTAAATCAGCTTCCATGATTAACACTATTTAGTGAAATGTCTACGGTATTTTTAGAGTGAGTTGAAAGAGATTATCACGAGACAAATGCACTTTAAAATGTATTGTATTCGTGCATTTTCTTCTCACTTAAATAAAAAATGCTGGATATAATTTCATTTCTCTTTAGTATTTGTACTGCAAGTTATCGTTATCACAATATTCAACAAAGTAATTGCATATTTGAGTCACATCATGCATCCGTGAGTATCACCACATTTTTAAACGTGGTGAAATATTTTGATAAATAACAGTGAGACCTTGATGTGGGTATGTATGCGTGCAGGTAAAGGTGTTTAACAAAAGACAAAACATGCATCAAAGAATAGAAAACATGCAGACGGCAAGTTCTGGAGTCCTTGAGGTGGACTCTTCGTTGTTACCTGATCTTCCTCCTCTTTTTGCTGTAAACAAAGCATGTCATACAAGACAGTTATTATAGAGACAATAATCGCGTTTCTCTGAGCGATATCCGCAACACTGGGTAACTCACAACACAACTCTGAATCGACTGCACCACAGGCAAGAAGAACGATGTCTATTAAAGTGTCTCACCCTCGCAGCAGCTTGTCTCCGTAGAGAGGTATAAAGTAGGGGAAGAGGTACGGAGCCACGCAGTTCGAGATCACCAGACAGAGCTGACTCTTCACCCAGCTCACACACACCTTACTCAGCCAGGAGAAGCTCTGAGGAGGAGAGAGAGGTATACTCAGATATCAGAGAGTGAGAGAAAGTCTTATACCCCAATGTATACATTCTTCAGATACCATTAGAGCCACATGCCTTTTTTGTTTACATGCAAAGCTTCTCTAGATGTTTTGAATGAAGCTTTGATGGCTGGTGTCGTATTTGTAGATATGTTGGTCAATGTAGTTAAAGAAACGCAATTGTTGATGCTTTTGTAATACAGCTGTGTGCCTTTGTTATGCCCCTGTCACACTGTCCCGAAATTGACACCCGATGGACACACGATAAAGGAAATGTTCAAATTCGGCTGTGATCGTAGCAACATCGGGCCATTCGTGAGGGCATCTAAGCCATAGTATGACCGCCGGTGGAGTTTCTCAGGCTCCGGCAGCAACTTCGTGAGCGGCAACTTCGTAAGGCACTCGTGAGGGCATCTTGTCAAGTCGTGTCATCTTCGTGTTATCATCGGTGCATTCGCCCTCACTCTGATCGGGGCGAATGCCCGATGGCACCGATGATAACACGATGCCCTCACGATGGCCTTACGAAGGGCAAAATTGACACACGAATTCAACACGAAAATGAACCTTCGCAAGGTCCTTGGGCAATTTTTTGGCATGCCAAAGATTTTGCCACCGCTCACGAAGTTGCTGCCGGAGCCTGAGAAACTCCACCGGCGGTCATACGAAGGCTTAAGATGCCCTCACGAATGGCCAGATGTTGCTACGATCACAGCCGAATTTGAACATTTCCTTTATCGTGTGTCCATCGGGTTGTTTTATTGCACAACAAAATCATGTAAATATATTATGTAAATAACCCAATTTGTGTTCTGTGAAACTAAAAAGGATATAATATATTATTTTGAAGGACAGTTGACAGAAAGTTACGGACATGACGGAGAAAACGTAATATTTTCTACATATAAAGACGGATAAAGTAAAGAACAAAGTCTGAAGATATCAGTACAGTATCATAGTACTGTAACATAATTGTTTTTGGTACTTTCATTGCAGTTGTATGTCTTAAATGTAATGTAAATGTTGCCTTCTTGTGTGGTTCGGGGCCATCTTCGTGCGAAATTCAAAATTCCATATTCGTGTGTCCATCGGGTGTCAATTTCGGGACAGTGTGACAGGGGCTTTACTGTGCAGCAAGTGTGACTTCAAACAAGCTTTTTAGTCGCAGTGAAAATGTTGCTTTCTGAAAGTTAAACACCAACAAATATGGATTGAAGGAAAGCATTGGGTAACATTAAAACAGTTTTTGACTTCACATCGATAGGGATTTAATTATAATAAGCTGTCAAACTGGAAATAAATCTGTGAATAGTATAATATCAGTGTAGCTTATTAAATCAACTAAAACTGTGAAGAAATATTGATTTTAAACACAACGAATAGACAGAGGAGAAAGAGACATTTTGATAATCATTTGAAAGTTATGAATGGAGCTTCTGGATCTATGTGGTACAGCCCGATTACAATAATAATTAAAATAATTAAGAAATACAAATTAAACTTAAAAAAATGCTAGTAATAATAATAATAATAAAATATATATATATATAATAATATTACTGAAAATAATAATAATTGTGAAAAAATAAAATAGAATATATAATATTGATAAAAATATTGCAACAAATAATAAAATAATAATAGTGGAAACAAATACTAATAACAACAACAACAACAGAGTCTGTATCACACTGACCAGCCTCCGCCCCTCCACAGCCTCTCTGTAGCTGTTGAAGCTGATCCAGGGCCCGAAGATGACCGTCCCCACAAAGTAAATGTATCCCATGAACTCGAGGGGCGAGGGGACGCTGGAGACCACTCCTCGGTCCAGATCGAAGGCCAGAGAGATCGCCTTCATCGCAACCACCATCTGAGAACCTGGAGACAACAGCAGCAAGGTTTCATCGGCATAATGATCAATCACTACAGCGGCCATGTTGGGAATGGACATCTGAAATACCAGGCTCGTCTAAAGATTTTAAAATAAATACATCCAAAAAACAGAAAACATCCATTTACAAACTCTCACACAACTACAAACAAGGTCTCATTTATCCAGTCTGATGTTTACCACTGAACTAAAACATAACTTTTTAAAGCACTACTAAATAAACAATAATCAACCTGAAGAGTAGCGCAGAGCGTAACACTGTTTAAGAGGAAGTGTTTTAAATAGTATTTCTCTTTACAAAGGGCATGTTTGGGAATAGGTGAGCATCCAACTGTTGAAATAATAGTTTTTCTGTTGCATAAAACGTTCCCAATTCTGTTCAATTCAACACGATTTTTCTCAGCTTTTAGATTATGTGTTCACTGTGAATGCATGCAAGAAGAAATAGGTACATTTCTTCAATAATTCAAGGTAAAGGGGTTAGTGATTGATATACAAATTATCATGAAATATTTCTAGATTCCAACAAAAGACCATTATCACTGCTAGATTTGAAGGTAAAACCACTGCATTAATTGCTTTTATCCATGTGTTGAATGATGCTGGAACCATCCTTGTCCTACCTCTCATCTTGTGCCAGTTGGTGGTGTCCATCATGTGCAGCTCTCTGATGAAAATAAACAAGAACAGCTTCAGTTTGAAAGGTCATATATATTTATATAAAAACCTGTCTGAAAATGAGCTGATCAGATTTCGGCCACTTTATGATGTCATAACGATGTTTTGTCTTGTGTAACCATTAGCCAATCACCAACCCCAACGGTAACCCCCCCCCCACCTTATGACCTGAATCTCCTCCTAGAGCACCATTAGGCGCTTTCACAGCAAGTACTTTTCCCAGGAATAGTTCCCGGAGCTCTTTCATTCCGGAACTATCTAGTAGATCGCGTTCACACCGGAATCAGTCCCTCCAACGTTTTATTTTGTGTTGCCATAAGTTAGTCTCTCTCCGTTGGTGCGCTGGGCTAATGCTAATGCTAATAATGCTAATGCGAGCAAATAAAATGGCGGCTTCACAAAACTTTTCGGAGTTTTACGGGGCGTGGTTTGCAATCCGCCCAGCCAATCAGAAATTGGAACCTTTTCCTCCCCAGGAAAGCACCACCTCTCTAGCAGGGACTGAAAAGGGGTGAAAAGGTTCCAGAGAACTAGGTTCTAGTTCCAGATCTTTTTGGTGTGAATGCAAAATCCCAGGAACTATCGTAACTATTCCTGGGAAAAGTACTCTGTGTGAAAGCGGCTATGGTGTTCTTTGTAACCAAATCTCTCTCAGAGGGGCGTGGGGAGGGGCTCCTTATTTTCATCTAAAGTAACAGACAGAGAATCAGCACTTTGGAAACAGGGCTGAAACAGAGGGGATTATGGGTAATGCTGCAATGATCTGTTTGGTGTTTCAGCCAATCAGAGACAGGCTCTGTATATATCTGAGACCTGTGATATATTGATGAAAAACAGTATCATAGGGAACCTTTAATGTCTTTCTCGCCACAAATTAAACTTCCCTGCAACACTGATTTGTAATCGTAGACGTGATGTGACGCCGCTCTCACCCCAGCAGCAGGTAGATGAGCACGGTGATGGAGAGGAAGGTGCCTCTCATGGTGGAGTGTCTGCAGAGGAAGAGGAAGAGGTAGCAGAGCAGGCTGAGCAGCACCACCCAGATCATGTGCAGCTCGAAGAACAGGTAGAGGGTGTAGAAACCCCCGGCAACCGTAACCAGGTGCTTCAGGAAGGACGGGAGGCCTGAGGGGCAGAGAGAGAAATATGAGAGAAGCGCAGTTACATTTAAAGAGTGTGTCACAAGTTGTCACATCTTGCACTAATGTACATTCTCAAAGATATTGAAGTGACTGTCATTTTGTATATATTGATTGTTGTGCTTTTATGTATGTCTTAATGTGTGCATATGTATAAATGTGTCTGTTGATTGTGTATACATATTTGTGTGTAAACGGTATTTCGATCTCTCTGTCTGTACACACAAACTGAAAGATTGACAATAAAGTTGACTTTGATTTGAACCTCTTTCCTTCTCTCCTTTGATCCTCCTTAGCAACAGTCATTATTTTGCTTAGCAGCGGTGTGTTATCGAGTATTAACAACCTCTGAAATGTCCAAATTGACCAATCAGAATCGAGTATTCAGCTAAACCGTGTAATTAAAGTGTAGAAATACTCAAGTGAAGTTCAAATACCTCAGACAATCTTGCACTAATGTACATTCCCAAAGATATTGAAGTGACTGTCATTTTGTATATATTGATTGCTTTTATTTATGTCTTAATGTGTGCATATGTACAAATGTGTCTGTTGATTGTGTATATATAGGTATATACATATTTCTATACATATGTTTACTATTTTTGTATTTTGGTATTGGGGATTGTGGGAAACGGTATTTCGATCTCTCTGTCTGTACACACAAACTGAAAGATTGACAATAAAGTTGACTTTGACTTGACTTTGAAGTTACTTTGATTACGCTGTGTTTGTGTGCATGCATGTAAAGATAGAGTATGGCTTTAATTGATATATATTTGTTCTATGATTAAACTCAATCTGTATATGACTTAATTTGGCAGTTCTTAATCAAAGGAGAAAATACAAAACAATCTACTTTTTTTACTTATTCATTCCACCCTATAATAACCAGGAAACTGCTATATTCCTGTTGGTCTGGATATACAAAAATACCTTTAATTTGTAACATATTTAGTTTACTGTAAATTGGTATTTCAACTTGCATATTTTCTACTTTTTAATGTTCTTTTATTTCTATTTGATATGTTTACATTCTAGAATTGTTTATTTCTACTCTTTGAATGTCTCTTATGTGCAATGCCTTGTCTTTTATGCTGCTGCAACGCAAACATTTCCCAAATTGGGATCGATAAAGTACATCTTATCGTATTTGATCTTATATTTAATCCACACACGATCCTATAACCCCCATTTTAGTCTCATTGCCATTATTCTCAGTTCACTTCTGGATTGATTTAGAGTTACATGGTCTATCCCCACCATACATCTGTAACATTACTTTAAATGTATGCCCATTATCTTCCTGCTCACAATCTCAGTACAACATACTACTCTATGTTAATGACTTAAGGGAACTGTCTGTTTAGCTGTTAGGGTCACACATCTCTTCCTGTTGGAGTCTGTCTTACAACCTTGTTGATTTCTTTAGAAAATCTGTTTTTTAAACTCACTTTTCGCATTAACTTTGTTCCATTTATTGGACTAGCGAGCACTTTTCAGGCACGTGCACAGATAGACCTCAAAGGGGGCCTGAGCACAGTCCTTTTTGACCTCAAATTAGAAAAGTGTCATTTTTCCAAATCACTACATTTCTGTTGGCAACGGAGGTGACAAAGGCCATCGTTGCAAATATTATTCAACACAAACTTAGCGATTCCAGAAAAGGTTATTTAATAAAAAAATCGCCTGCGTGCCCTTTTATGAATTTGGGCCCTGTACCCCTTTAACACGCTCTGCATGTGCCTGATTCTTCGGAAGCTGGAATATAAATAAAGTTATAATTAGCTGTATAGTCTCACCCAGCATCCAGAGCAGGCGGCAGAGCAGGCAGATGAGCAGCAGCTGCCACACCTGCTCCAGGCCCTGCTGGGCGGTGGGCAGCAGGCAGCCCCCCCACAGCTCCTGGAAGAACTTCTGCCGGCTGAACGCTCCCATCTCTGGACCTTCAGAGGGGGGGGGGGGGGGGGGGGAGAGACGCCATGTTTTAGAGCAACAGAAACACGTATCACCAGGGTCAGCATATGTTTAATGCATAAGATCAACATATTGTATGTGAACCGCTGTTAAGTAACGCTGCAAATAACCATTAGACCATTGTCACCTAATTGTTTACTCGATAACATGTGAGAATAATAGTGAAAAGAACAAGGGGATGTCTTTAGATGCTTTGTTTTGTCCGTACAAAATACACTTTAGTGTTTATAAAACAGTTCAAAGCTGGATATATCCACATTTGAGAAGCAAAATGTCTACAAGTTTTGTATAGAAAATGTACTTTTAAATGACCAATTGATCATCAAAATAGTTGCCAATTCCTTTCCTAATTAAACTTACCATAATTGATGAGTCGACTAAACATTAAAGCTGATTTGGCATTACATTGTATGTCAAGAGCATAGTAAAAAGCCCAAGGAGTCGTAAATGTCTTGTTTTGTCACTCCAAAACCGAAACATATCCATTTTATTGTAATATAAAACAGAAAAGCAGCAAATCTCTATATTTTAGAGGCTGAAACAGCATTTTCTGCGTGAAAAATGACTTTGAAACTATCAATTTCTCGACAAATCGTTGCAGCTCTTCACTGGTTCACACATGAGCGAGCAGAGACTGCCACTCACTCACTGTCAACAGACACACAACTACAAATCCCAGCATGCACTGCACCACTACAAATCTGTGCAAGTCCATGCAATGGCTGTCAAAGTTTTGGCTGATTATCCTGAAATATCTCTACGCTCAGTACTGCCAAACATATAGCCGACGACTGCATACGTTCATTCTGCAGCAAATGCATCAAACTGGAAGTGCTTTAAAATACCTTAAATATGCACAGTGTAGCACAGAACCAGGCTGAATTATTTAGCATTATTTAAGTGTATTGAGGACTTATTTACAGTGCATTATGAGGAATAGTATGCATGTATTCTCCGCATTGCAGTAGGCCAAGGTGAAGAGTTGACTCACAGCTGCAACATGCATATTATCTTCATCCATTAGCAGAAAGGGAAACATCTTGTTTTCTTAACCTTGCTTCACCTAGCCCGCAGCAGGGTTTACAGTCCAGCTATCAGCACTATAACAAAGTGGGTCTCCCCTGCCCCCCACAGCGGATAACCGTCCCCCTCCTCCCCCGGTCGTGTCAGTTATTTCTCCCGGTTTAGACCCACCTTTCCCGGCAGCAGCTGCAGCTTCCTCCCGGTGTTTCTACCGTCTCCCGGCCCGGTGCAGCTCGCCGTGTTTAATGTCGCTCGGTCCGGATGCCGCTTCTCTTCTGGAGGACTCCCATTGTCACAGCATCAGCACCACTGGACCCTCCGCTGGAGAAAAGCCAAGGAAGAGACGCGTCAACCAATCAGCTGCTTCGGTGAGGACGCGTTAGCCAATCACCGCTCTCGTTGCGTTTGAGTGACATCCAGCTGGGCCAATCAGAAGCCTGGTCGACTGTGTTCGGTGCTTTGTGACCAATGGGATGTGTACAGCGTGCAGATGGAGTCAGAGGACTAGCATCTGGCTCAGAGGTTTCTGGAGGGTGAACTGTGGCTATGACTAATACAAAACATGCACTTAAACTACTTTTTATTTTGGGAACTATTGCCGAAGAACATAAGACAATGTATATATATTTCTGAATGATATTGAACAATATACCCAGAATGAGCAAAGCAAGCAAAACATGTTCAGTAGCAATGTGACTGTGTGTAACATGCATAAGCTATGAATTGAGTTGTATTCAAATGTGTGCATGTCTGTGTTTAGTGAGTTAAACTTTCATCAATTACCTATTTTTTATTAAATTAAAGTTTGGAAATACACTAAAAATAAAGGTACAATAATAAGACAAGATGGAGATAGTTTGTGAAATGGGACACAAGCTTTCTGAAGCATGACCAGAGGCCCAGGCACCATGCTTTTGTAATTAAAAAGCATAGACAAAACTAAAAGTAGTCATTGTGAAATGCACAAACATTTAGCTTTTTAGCAGCAGCCTCATTTTGTTTTACTTATGAACCATGCCGTAGAAGTAAAAGCACTCTGGGAACTGCAAGCAGAAAGTCCAACAAACGAAGGCGTAAAAGCTCTTTATTGTTATTGTACCGTGGGCTTTATTCTACAATGGGATTGTGCAGCGGTTCAGAATGCTTGATGACACACGGGTAAAGAGGTCAGACCAAGACGAGGAGAAAGAGTTTTGGGTCACATTAACAATCTCTCTAGTGCCTGCATCTGGAGAGATGTGAAGAGGCTTTACACCACAGAAACATCCACCCGTTAAGTGTTTACGTAACAATAAAAGTACAATTATTTGTATTTCTCTAAATGTACATTAGGCTTTTTCAGCGAGGAGAGATGTCAGGCGGACACAGAGTCGTTCGGATGATATCGTTTGGTTTTAATGTCAGTGTTACGAGGCAAACGTGCTATGACAGTGGGCTCAGCCTGAGGCAAGGAGAACATTTGATGTTATAACATTGTCTTCCAGTGACTGAAACTAATAAAGTTGATTGAAACATTCACAAGAACCAGATAATCAGAGGTGATATGTTAGCATCTGCAATTACAGGAACATTAACGTTTCCTCGCTCAAAACACCAGCTTGCTTTCTGCCACTTTGAGAGGTCACTCCACACAAGGATGTACTACTTGTGTGGAGTGAATACAACTCGATACAAATTAGGATGCATAGATTTAATTTACATCAGAACACATGTGAGATCTGATTAAACCATTCTGAGTTTAAAGTCAAGATTCTGAGAAAGAAAAGTACGAATTTTGACTTTCCCCCAGAAGTCTTAGAAAGGGAATTCAGTCTTATTTCTCGTAATTCTTAGAAAACATTTTTTCAGCTTTTACTCAAAATTCTTGAAAACAAAAACATTCAGAACTTTTTCCAAAATTCCTTTTCTTATAAAAAAAAAAAAGTGGACTTTTTTCAAAGACTTCTTAGTAAATGATTCCGTCTTTTATTTCTCAGAGTTGTTGAAAAAAAAATCTGAAAATGTTCCAGAATTCTTTTTCACCCTTAAAAATGATTGGAAAATGAATTCTGTCTTTTTTCAGAATGTCGTAAATTCTTGTGACTTTTTTTGGTCAAAATTCAGAACTAATCCCAGAATTCTGACTTTCTGTACAAAAGATGGAGCGTTTGATTTGCATTACACTCAGATTACACTCCAGGTGATGATTTTAAACAAATACAAATGTGAAATCATCAGTTATTCTACTGGCACTGAAAAGCAGGTGATCATCCTTGAATACATCCATATCAAGCATCCCTTATTGCGACACATTTCTGCAAAATAAAACAAACGGTGTCAAAGGGTTGCTGGCCACAGAGGTAGATGATGCTACATAATGATATTCATGCTATCATTCATAGCAAAGTGAATGTTCTCACAGTCTGCTGAATACAGACACCATCCAGGTTCATTAAAGAATCTCTAACTTAGAGAACAGTGTAAAACTAGTCACTGATAACACGTACTAAATCAAAATAGCAGCAGTATGTAAAACAGTATCTACAGTATGTGAGTCAAGACATGAGAAGTGTGCAGCGATACATTCAAGGTTTACAAAACTCAAAAACGCCATAAAGACAGTAACAGAAGTGGAACAAAGTATCGAACCCAAACAATGCATTTGACAGAATGTGTTTGAGCTTAATGATACTAAGAACCTGCTTTGATGTAATGCTGCTTTGCAGACAACTCACGACTTGAACTTTTCCCAAATTCTTATAAGTGGAAGTTCCTGCTTGTAAACTCGAGCCGAATGAATTCCATCCTAGGTCAGGAAGAAGTGGTTGTCTTAGGTCACAGAACAGGGGTATTGTGAAAAGGCAGCGTAAAGTAAATATGCCAGGATTTAATGACAGTATGCCATCGTACACTTCAAAGCTGTGCTGCATGTACATTGAGAGAAAAGTGATTTCCTCGGCACCAAAATAAATCAGGGAAATATCACAAGTGCTAAAAAGATATTTGAGCCAGCACTATGGAGTTAGATTGTGTGTCAACTTGACAGAGAAACATCAGGTTTGTTGTCCGTCATGGTTTTGAGTGAGTTTAACCCTTCGGATGCCAAATCTCCCTAAATTCAAAATGGACGAATGTGAAAATCCTGACCTTCGAGAAGGGGCTAAAATAATTCGGAAAGCAATGTGTCTGATTACTTTGACTGATATTGCAATTGTGATATGATTTGCGATCGATGACCTTTACACGATTAACTTATTATCCATTAAAAAGCTAATTCTATTGTTTACGTCATGATTTTTAGTATATGATGTGAAGCCAGGCCATCTCCGCAGCATGATACACTTTAATACTTCATTTACTCTGTTACTGTTCTACCTCGGTTTGTCTGGAAAGCAGCTTAAGTTAAAGAGAGACTTCAAACCTTACAGATGAGGCTAAAAGGCCAGTTTGACAACATCAGGTTCAATTGCAATAAAACAAAGAACAGTCGCCAGATTGTGTTTTTAAAGTGTCTTCACAGATTTAGATCAGATCGCGAACTCCATGTCGTAGGCAGTTCGTTCCTTCTTAATGTTTTCAACGCTTATCTCTGCGGGGGAAACCAGAGGCAGCTCCCGCGGTTCCTCCTTCACAATGTTCTTCTTTACCGGCATGGGTTTGCTCAACATGTAGTCGTAATTTCTGTCCACCTGTAGGAGCGCCGAGGTGAGGAAGCGTGGAGAGAAGAGCTGCAGAGAGGGTCTGAGCGGAGGAGGTGGAGGGGGAAGAGGTTTGACTGAGAGTTGAAGAAGGTCGCACGGGCGTGGCTTTAACCAGACAACAGGCGGGGGTGCTAATGACAGCGGGACAGGTATTAGCATCCGATGGATCTTTGGTAAGCTCACAGTGTGTGAGGCGGGAGGACCGGCCTCCTTTTGGACACTTCCTGAATGATATACATTTTTCGGCTCGACGATGGTCGGTTCCTCTTCCCACACGAGAGCAGACTCGGCTACCGACACGACAACAGTCTGTTTGTGGCGTTTGCAGAACATGGTGCCGCACTCTCGGCACTTCCTGTCGTCTCTGACGTGCTGCAGTTTGTGGCGCTTCAGGTTTTGGCTCGTAGCGAACGCTCGGTCGCACATGTTGCACGGGAACGACGGCTCACACTGGTGCTCGGAGAAAAGAGCCTGACCCGAGAACATCTTTCCACACGACTCACAGACGAAGGAGGCGTTTTCTTCAATCTCCTCCTCTTGACTTTGTTCTCCTTCCTCTTGACTTTGTTCTCCTTCCTCTTGACTTTGTTCTCCTTCCTCTTGACTTTGTTCTCCTTCCTCTTGACTTTGTTCTCCTTCCTCTTGACTTTGTTCTCCTTCCTCTTGACTTTGTTCCTCCTCTTCTCGTTCCTCTACTTCTTCTCGTTCCTCTACCTCTCCTCGTTCCTCTACTTCTCCTCGTTCCTCTACTTCTTCTCGTTCCTCTACCACTTCTCGTTCCTCTACTTCTTCTCGTTCCTCTACTTCTTCTCGTTCCTCTACGTCTTCTCGTTCCTCTACTTGTCCTTCATGCAGCTTCTTGTGTTTCATCAGCTGTGGTACATTAGTGAAGTTCTGATTGCACTGCTCACACTTGAACCCCCCGGCGGGCAGGAGCACGTTTTTCAGGAGCACGACGGGACTCATATTTGGTTGTAGGACGCCCGTTGGAGCTTTAAATGGTGACGCTGTTTTGTTTGGGCTTAATGTGGTTTCAGTCTCTTCAGTCAACGATTCTCCTTCCTAAAGAACACAGAAGAGGATGTTTGTATGCCGTCTTAAACACAACAGGTCAAGCAGGTTTCAACAAGTTACATTTAACAACAATATAAATGCAATGAAGACATTTTTTTACTATCATAGTGCCAAAGTATGAACAATAGAAACATCAGAGATCCAGCTTTGAATGAAAGCATGAAAACTACTTTTTAAGTAAATGTGCCACTTTTTAATCCATAATATGTCACTAATGGCGCGTTTCCACTGCAGGCCTCGCTCGGTTTGGTTAGGCCTTATTAGGCCCGGCTCACTTTAATGCTGCGCTTCCATTACAGTTTAGGAACTGGGGTAGTTACTATAGTAACGCAGTGTAGGCGGAGCCGTGACGTCATCTTCAATGAGAGCCCCAGAAAAACAACACAGCCGTTAGCTCTTAGCACTCAGAGCTCACAGCTCTTCATATCTGTTCAGAAACGAGACAAAAGTTAAACCACAGACTGCCTGTGTCATGGCGAATACAGTCGCTGCTTTATTTATGTCTGTATAGGCCGTTGTTGTGAGTGTGGACGGTCGGAGCATATATAACGTTAGCTTAGCCAAACTCCATTCAGAAAACATACATTTTAAAAGGTGTTTCGCCTGCCGTCTGTCTGCAGACTTGTCAAAGCATTAATTCATGGTTGTTACTAACCGCTATCAGTATGTTGTTACTTCGGCATCATTTTGAAACGTGTATTACAATTAAATCACGGTCAAATATGTTCATCTTGTTGTAGTTGTAGCCCCCTTGCCAGCGATTCTCTCTCTAGTTTAGCATACTCAGCCCGACTCAGCCCGGTTGATCCTGGCCCTAGAACCACGATTTTATGGGGCCAGAAAAACTGTGAATTAGGACCCGCTAGCCGGTACTAGGCCAAGTGGAAACGCAACAAAAAACGGGCCCCGCACGGCTCGGCACGCTTAAAGCGAGCAACCCGCTGCAGTGGAAATGCGCCATTACATGATCCATTCAGATCCGATGAAAACATATTGATCTTTCTGAACTTCATTTTAACTCCAAGGAATGATCCAAGGAATGTGTAGGACTTTGTATCTGAGACCATTTCAGGCATTAAACGCATATTATTAGATGTTAGACTTGGATATTGCTGCACAATAAGAACACAAAAAAGGTTAACAATTATTTTCTAAACCCATTTAATGAATGCAGAAATAATACCTCTTGCAGTGATGGAGTTGGTGATTTCTGGAGTTCCTCAAACAGATCAGAAGTCTGGAGTTCCTCAGGAGAATCAGCTCGAGGTGAAGTTGTTTCTTCTTCCGTTTTCTTTTTGGCTGCACGAGGCCGCCTCTTTCTACTTCCATAATCCCTTTAAAAACAACGTGACAACTATTTCATCTGAACACACAAGACATGTCTCACTTGTATCTATCGTCAAGGTGGTAGGAGGAGGAGCTCACACCTTTTTGAAGCAGGGAAGTGAGCATTAACAGCGTGTTTCTGCACTGCATAATTATCCATACACTGAGCAACTGTTAACTGTGTGAAGACATACGCACAATGGTGTTTATGCTTTGTTTATTATCGCAGACAAACCTCACATAGCGGTGTAAAGCATATATACATAAATTACTGAGACGAATAGTAACACTGCTTTAAGACATGTTACTTAGATGCAAAACAGTGTTGTAACTGTGTATGGCACCTTTTTGAAAGTGCTTGTTTTACCCGAGTTTAATACTCTCTAAAACACATGCATCAAACTCAAGGCCCGGGGGCCAAATCAGGCCGTGGTGGATTTAATTTCGGCCCGCAGGATAATTTGTAATTACTATTAGATCTGTCCCGCCGGTATATTGCACGCACACCTTCACTCCATCCTGAGGGTCTCCTCCGCTCAGAGCCTGAGCCCAAACATTGATGAACTTGCACCCAAGATGAGATGCCAAGTATCTGAACTAGCATCACAGAGCAGCAACCTGAGTTCAATGGATGCTTCCTTCTGCACTTTCTCTCACGACAACAGGGCATGTTTGGTTTTCTCTTTGAGGGGAATAGTTTTGTTGAAGCTGTTGTTGGCCTGTGGGAAAATGTACTCATAAGAAATGACTCTGGAAAAGCTGCAGATAGAGCCATAAGAAATGAATGCAACTGATTATTTAATGTTGTTTTTATAGGCAATCATGTAAGCTTTGTTAGTTCCAGGTTTAATATGTGCAATAAGTTCATTTCAATAAGTTCAATAAACATTGAACCAGTCCGGCCCTCGACGAGTACCCATTTTTTAAAATCTTGGCCCACTGTGTATTTGAGTTTGACCCCCCTGCTCTAAAATATACATTTTATAATCATAATCTTGAAAAGTAGCAAATCCTCTCATATAAGAAGCTTAAACTGGAAAATGTTGAACAAATTAATGATCAAAATGGGTTAATGTCTGTTATTTGGGAGACTACTTGTGTCACAGCAGCAGTGTACAGTGTAGTGTAATACATTACACAAGTTACAAATATTCAAAAAGACAATAAAAAATAACATTGGTGGCAAGTATATACAAATTCACACAAGGAAGGACATGTATCACTAGAGTATCTTAAAAATACTCAATATAGAATATACAGTCTCACTAAACTACAGAAATATACAACAGACACATACTAGCATTGGAATATGTTGTTGTTTGTGTTTGCTAGCTAGCTCACTTCTAGCCTCAGTGTGTGGCTCTCATGTGTTACTGAGAGGCACACACTGCGATAAATTACAAGTTAACTTGAGTTATTTAGTCATGATTAATGTGCATGTCTTACCTCTTCACTTTTCTCTTGGGGCTCTGTTTAGTGGAGGGAAACACAGAGGGCACGAAGTCAGGGCTGTCGTGCTCCGGGGACGCTTCCTCTACAAAAACAGAGGAAACAGAGATGGTTTTTACTCAACATGTAACAACACATCTACCTACATGCTCTTAATGTAATAGCAGTGTTGTACATCTGAAAAAAGGCTCCCCATTGTGACGCCCATTGGTACAGTATTCATCATTCAGTGTGTGTTTCTTACTTGATATAAAATGAGCGCCACAAACTCTCGCGTTTACTCTGATCTCCTCTCCGTTCACTTCTCGGATCTTTTGGAGCCATAACTTCCTCCGGTTCGCCTGAAACGGTCTGGTTCCGGCCGGGATTCTGTAAAACTTCAGTTTACTGCTAGAAGAATGTCGGTTTTTACATCCAGTCACGCAGCAGGCCGACATTTTTACTGAAAAAAATTGTTTGGTTTCGATAGCTTCTGGAGCGGAAGTGCTGAACAACAACAAGAGTTACCACTTCCGTTGCCAAGATGCGCGCGCTGCCTCGGTGAGGATTTTTCTTTTAATGTTTAACAATTATTTAACAATTTAATTACTTAATAGAAGCTTACAAGTGGAACAAGTTGGTATTTGTGTGCTGTTTTGTGTTAATTTAAGCAAGAACAAATACAAAAACAGCGAGGAAGAGTTGTGTTGTGTCGTCACACGGAGCATGGACGCCCCCTGGTGGCGGAATACGGAACAACACCTTTACTGCAGTAATAATAAAATAAACAGACAAACAAACAGAGGTGTAAATTAACTAAGTACATTTGCTAAAGTACTGTACTTACGTGCAATTTTGAGATACTCGTGCTTTACTTGAGTATTTCCATTTTTATACAAAGCCATTAAAACTATAGCTGCACCTTTACCACAACTACAATTTAAATTTGATCAGAGGTACTTTAATACAACATGTTCAGTTAAAATAGAAAAGAACAGTGTGTGTGTGTGTGTGTGTGTGTGTGTGTGTGTGTGTGAGTGTGTGTTTGTGTCTGTGTGTCTGTGTCTGTGTGTGTGTGTGTGTGTGTGTGTGGTGCGTGTGTGTTTGTGTCTGTGTGTGTGCGTGCGTGCGTGTGTGTGTGTGTGTTTTACCTCCTAATTAATTGATGTTTCCTTTGTCTGCACTCACAAGAAGTGAGGTGTCCTTGGTATTGTTCAGACTTTGAATTACAATAATCAAAGCACTAAACCTTGAGCATTCTCACAAATAAAGTCTGGGGGGCACTTTAAAACAAAAAGCGTTTAAACATTCAAATATTCCCTCTGCAGAGCCACACCTTAAACACATAACGAATCCTCCCTGAGCTGCCAGATGTTGTTTTTATTTGTGAAGCAGCATAATGCCCTCTATGGTGCTTCATCTCTACAATGAATCACCTACTTCTCTGTCTTTATGTTCAGAAAAACATAATATACAATTAAATTGCCTTGGAGTTTAACATCACACTGTTTTTACATTTCCAATACTTCTTAAGTAAAACCTATTTTCAGGTCAGTGTGACAGTGATGGATAAACTGCAGGCTTGGCCATTTAATGCACCAGCAATTTTACACAGAGGACATTTTGATTCGTCACAGCATGTGTAATAGAGGAAATGTTCAAATGAATGATGCCTTTTGAAACACTTCGATAAAACAGAGGCATCATTAATGTTATTAGTACCGCTTCTGCTTTTAAAGGTCACCTATCTATCATGCTATTTGTAGGCAATAGCATAGGTCTCAGATATATAAAAATATATTAAAAACATGTCTATGAAGTGTTTCGTTCAAACTACCAAACAGATCACCCATTCTAGCGACGCCTCATATCCCTCTATTTCACTTCCTGTTTTCTAAAGTGATGATTTGGGGATAAAGCTTTAAAAATAAAAAATTGATAAAAATAAAAAAGGAGGGGTCTGAGCTCATGCGGGACCCGGCAGCTACTGTCTAAACTAAATGCTGCCGTGATGAAACGCCATATCATGGATTATCAAGGATTCTCTCTGAAACAGTTTGGAGCTCAAAGGCTTTCTCTCTTGCCGGTTATACCACAAGGTGAGTTCCTTTTTACTTCCTGCTTCTTCACACACATGCTCTCCAGCACAGGTTAGCTCTGAGTGTTAGCGATGCTAATGTAAACACCGACCATATTACGTCCAAAACAGTCGGCATTGTTTCTGATAGCAACGTTTCTGATTGGCCCGTGGGTCCACATTTCAGATATTACGTCATCCATCCATCCATCCATCTTCTTCCGCTTATCCGTGGTCGGGTCGCGGGGGTAGCAGTTCCAGCAGAGAGCCCCAAACTTTCTTTTCCCTGGCGACATCAACCAGCTCTGACTGGGGGATCCCAAGGCGCTCCCAGGCCAGCGAAGAGATATAATCCCTCCACCTGGTCCTAGGTCTACCCTTGGTCTCTTCCCAGCTGGACGTGCCTGGAACACCTCCCTAGGGAGGCGCCCAGGTGGCATCCTAACTAGGTGCCCGAACCACCTCAACTGGCTCCTTTCGACGCGAAGGAGGAGCGGCTCAACTCCGAGTCCCTCCCTGATGACCGAACTTCTCACCTTATCCCTAAGGGAGACACCAGCCACCCTGCGGAGAAAACCCATCTCGGCCGCTTGTAATAATATTACGTCATATCGGACGCAAATCTGGATCAGCTCCGTTGTTCCCCGTTTTTAGAGATTTGGGTACGGAGGAAAAGAGAGAGGGTTTTATTTTCTGACGCTGCGTGAGTTCCCCGACACACCGGGGACACATGTTTATGTATAAAATACATCAAAAAGTGCATTTTTTATGATAGGTCCCCTTTAAATACTACGGCGAGTGAAATGTCTGGCATCTCCTACAATAATACATGCATGTAAATGTCAAACATTTAAATAATTAAACATGCTTATACATTCCAACATATTAAGTAAAGTTGAAGAATAAGGCTCAGAATATTATATATTTGTATTATTGTTAACAAATCCTATTGAAAAAAGAATAAAAACTCAAGTGTTCGTTCGTGTCACACTATTTTCTGAATGTAATTTTTTTTAAACACACATATATATATATTGTTATATAGAAGAGATCGGTGGATTTTGCTGCACAGATGAATTCATTGTTGGTTTTGGTATTTTTGGGGGGAAAAAGTGAAATAAAATATTTTATTTTACTACTGTTTTTTGTGTCAGTACTCCACCAGCAGATGTCACTGTTGTGTAAAGAGGGGAAGGATTTCAAAATAAGACTAAAATAAAAGTCTGTTTGCTGTTGCCTTTTATTAAATAACTATATATCTTATATTGCATTGTAACTTTTACTATTTCATAAAAGTTATGCAATATAATTTTTGAGCTTGTTGTTATCTGTAGTTTATACAATACAATGTGTTTCCTCGTTATTTATGAATGAGAATATTATTTAATTCGCTTTCGTGACAGCTGCATTTTAGACATTTTAGAATGTAATAATACATATTTAAATAAAAATAATAAAAATATTTATATACATTTCTATACATATTTTCAACTTAAAGGTGGGGTAGGTAAGAATGAAGAAACCAGCTCGAGTGCGCTAGAATTTGAAAGTACGCAGCCGAAAAGAATCCACCCCTTCCTTCAGACTTCCTCACAGAGCCCCTCCTCCAACACGCACGAACGCGCACATGACCAATGAGGGCACGAGATAAATTTGTGCACGAGATGGAAGGCTGACAGGCAGTTAGGCCATCCAGTTACTTTAGCCGGGCCGGCTAACATGATTGGTCGTGCTTTTTACAGCGCCACGGCTTCCACAGATGAAATATTTTAATGTATTTATTGTCAAAGCATTTCATATATTCATTGCTATCGGAATGTTAAGAGCATTCCATGGAATATAACAACAAGTGTTTCTGAAGTGAATTACATACCTACCTTTAAGTAAAAGAAGATAAATAAATAAAAATATAGGCCTATATAGGCTACATTTATTTAATTCATAAATATATTTTTGCATAAAAATGTCATATAAAATAAAAAATATATAGTAAAAAAAATAAGAAGTTAAAGTAAGTATTTGAAGAAAATTAAAAAGATAAAAAAATATATAAAGTAAAACAGAATTTAAAAAAACAATATAAACCCAAGAAGTTACATTTAAAAAATGTGCGCCGTGCACAACAATATTTAAAATAAATGAAACAATATTAACAGTGTATTTGATAAGACACATCTGTCTCTGTTCAGGATGCAGTGCATTTCTTCATATCTACAAGCGTTTGACCTGGAAATAAATAAATTGGCATTGCACTGTGTCCCCTCCTTCCCTTCCTCCTCCTCCCTTCCTCCCTCCTCCTCTCCTCCTCCCTCCTCCTCCCTCCCCTCTCAAGGTGACTCCTCCATCTGCACCCCCTACTCGTGCCAGCGCCTCCCCCCTCTGCAGCACCGATCCTGGGCTGCGATCCCTCTCTTCTCCCCTCTTCTGTCACCATCTCACCTCCATGTTGCCTTAGTGTTCCTGCAGCTATTCACATCAAACACACCTCTGTGCTGCTTTGTGTGTGTGTGTGTGTGTGTGTGTGTGTGTGTGTGTGTGTGTGTGTGTGTGTGTGTGTGTGTGTGTGTGTGTGTGTGTGTGTGTGTGTGTGTGTGTGTGTGTGTGAGTCATCAAAGAGGCTATTTCTACTCTTCTTATTATGGAAAATAACGTCTGAATATTGTTTACCTATTTCCATAGTGTGTTTTTTTATCCCATTCATCTTTTCGTCCTGCGGAGTCGAGGCGTGTCTCTGGCTGCACAGCATCCACATTTTAATTAGCCTCTTCTTCACCCCGCCTCGTGTCGTTTTAAGTGGAGAGACAGAGGAGGAGGGGGGAGGGAAATAAAGAGGAGATTGAGGAGAGAATATATACTCAAGAACATGTGAGAAGGGTGGGGCGGGTTGTGGCCTGTTTTGGGGTGAAGGGGGAGGAGAGAGGACAACGTGAGGGGGAGAGACGAGCCAACCTGTCGACAAGTGGGACAAAAACTCAACAGCTGAAATACATTGTGTATATTCAATTCAAATGATTGGTTATTTTTTAGATTCATATTATTGAAATATGAAGTACACTACATGTCACTTGTTGGACGCTTTTATCATGTCGTTGTGTCCCTGGGCGAAGTGCCTTGCCCAGGGACACAACGACATGTTGACTGCAGCGGGCATTGAACCAGTGCTCCTCTGCTCTGAATCTCCACACACTAGCCCACTGAGCCACAGCCTCCTACAAGTACAAGTCAGCACATACATTCTTCAAACATGTAACTTTATTTTGAAAGTTGGGACATCCGACTTGTCACAAAGCTTTGAGACATTGGTTCTTTTGTAATCCTCCATTCGATTTTCGATCTCTGGTTTCAGACAGAGGGTGAAAAGAGGTGCTGCAGCACAGGCATAAGAAAAAGAAAGAGCTTTTTGAACATTGTGTGAAATACATAAA